TTTGTGCACAGCCGGGGTCGAACCTGCGACCTCAGGGATGAGAGTGTCACGCTGATGCCACTAGGCAAGCACTACTCAATGTGAATCTAATATATGGTAAATTAATTTTGTTTTATACTTCATCGGGATTTTACATACTAACATAATCGGTTATTCTTCTCTTTCGTTCTTAATTTCTGAAAGTCGTATTAGTGTCGGCACAGAATTTCCACCACTACCCTCTGTCTTAAAGGTATTGTTAGGGTCTTTATTTGATAGGTGAGTAGGGGGTCGGCGTCGAGCTCTAGTACACTCCACTCTGCAAATCACGATAAGTTACCCAAAATTTTCTCGACCTGTACATTTTACATGTCCAAAAAACTCAGGATCTAGTGGTAACAAAGTGTTAACGAGTTACCTATAACTGTTTGATTTCTTAGATGTCCAGGATGTCCTTCAACACTATATTTCACAGATATTTAACACTGTCTATTTTTATCACAGCGTAAAAACAATAAATATCCAGCTCTAATTTATTTGTTCACGATAGTCATTTATTTATCATTCTAAAAATAATAACCCGAATAGGTATCAATAAGATTGTATCTAGATAGTAGAATCTCTTTGATACCTATTCCCTGGAATAATAGTAAAATATGTGGCATAGCAACACTTGGTCTTTCAAATTTCTAAATATTTATTTACAAAAGCTTGGCACGGCTTGGCACACTGATACATTAGAAACAAAACACAAGATTTATTAATGAGATACTTATAATCAAACTACAAACGCGAAGAAGCAAAATTCTAATCATAAATTATGATTTTTTTTTATTGTGTTACAGGCAAACGGGCAGGGGGCTCACCTGATGTTAAGTGATACCGCTCATGGACACTTACACTGCCAGAAGGCTCGCAAGCGTCGTGCTGGCCTTTTAAGAATTGACACGCTCTTTTCTTGTGGAAACTTAAGTCGAATTGGTTCGGAAATACTTCGGTAGGCAGCTGGTTCCACATAGTGGTGGTGCGCGGCCTAAACTGCCTTAAGAAACGATCAGTTGTGGCTAGACGGACGTCGAGTTATCACCTCGGATGGTATTTTGTATTCTGCGTTGACGTCCGCGAAGATGTAGAGAGATCTCACATCTAAACAACTACTAACTAACTAAAAGAAAATTGATTTCAAAGTGTGAGCTATGGATATCCAGACCTAGCTCGTTTATCAGAACGCTCCATGTCAATCAGTGAGTTTTGGCCAAAACGCGCTCTTCTGGTAGGGACAAATGGAATGGCCTGGGGAATCTACACGAACATAAATTTAGTTTAAAGGTTGGTGCAAACAACCTGATTCTTAAGTATCTTAAACACAAAAGATGTACCAATATCTTTATTTAACGTATTAATTTAACACATATACTTCATTAATGTACCAGGATTTGAAAACACAACATCACGATTGAACAGCGTGTGCCAGACAAAGATGGCCCATATATGAGGGACAGTATCGCATATTCTTGAAATGGACAATATAAAAACAAACAATAAAGCTTAATTGAACGCGCAAATCAGTTGACCCATAGACTGGGGTCAACCCTGGGAACATGATACCCGCTTAGTGGGTAATTAATGTTGACAATAGGTTTTGGGAGAACTAATTTTAATCTGCAATTCTGCAGTCTAAATTAAAGTAAGTAAACAGGCATTGTATAGACACGGTATATTTCAAATATTATTCAATTTAAACGAGTAGTTAAAGCAATAATGCTTTAGTTATAAAACTAGGCAATGTTTAGGTGTTATTTAGCAAGAAAACAACAAGAAAAATCCTGTCTTGCCAGCATGCCTTGGAAAGAAGCATCTTAAATTTGAGGAGAATATACAAAACAAGAAATGTTGACATTCGAAACAAAACAAAGAATCAAAAGATCTTCCTGTTAAACTGAACGCAACCAATTAACTATTGGTGCGTTCCACTAAGCGCTCACGACGATCACGCTCACGACCGCTGATTTCCCCATTCCACTTGATTGTGAATGTTACTGTCGTTAACTCAAGTGGAATGGATTATGGAGCGTTTCGGGCGTTCATGTAAATATTACAAATGTCAAGTTTGAAAATAGTAGAATTTTAAGGATGTTAGGTAATCATAAACAATAAGTTTTGATATTTGTGACTTAAATTTATTTATGTTAAAAGTGAAGAATAATTGAATATTTTATAAATAATTTTGGTGAAGTTATCAAACAACTTAACTTTAAATATAATCGAAATGGCTTTACAATTTCTCTTTCTGAATCAAATAATGTGATTTTTCTTGTCGCCATCTTTAAGCTTTGAATATAATAATATTATTATTTGTCATATTTCAAAAATTGCGCCAAATTATTCTCAACGTTCACAACGACCCACCTCTTTAGATGGGTCGTTGTGAGCGTTGCGTGAGCATTTGTCATGACGTCATGAGTGACGTTTTCGCCGTGACCACAACGACCGCGGTCGGTATGTGGAATGGCTAAAGGAGCATTTTGATCGTCGTGAGCGCTTAGTGGAACGCACCAATTATGTAGTCTATATCTGTCAGTGTATCTGTCAATGTAGTCTGTAATAATAATTGTATCGTCCCTGTCTGTATTAAGAATTATAGCGGTCCGCATCATTGCCTAACTCAGCTGTTTTATTTATTTCATTTTACTAAATTCCTACTCTAAATTAGTTTATAACACTTCCGACTAGAGTTTTAAAAAATCGACTTGGTGTATTACTTTTGGAATAAATGTATTATTCAATAAATGATTATTTTCGTGATACAGTAGTTGATATAAATTTAATAACGTATGATATGCTATCAAATAAATAATATAAGAATTGACCAATTCATATGACTAATCATGAAAAATTCCATTAAAGACAAATTTGCGCGCCATTGTATGTGGCAGAATATGCGAACTTACGATTGTACCACCTTACACATTTTTGTACAATATTCTTGCAATAAATTATTATTATTATTAATAAAACTTACAGATGCATTTGTAAACGCTCTAAGGCTTAAATAGAAATGGACAGGTCATATTTCTAGAGAGCGGGATAAAAGATGGACACTAGATATAACAAAATGGACTCGACCTACTGGAAGGAGATGTATAGGACGACAAAAGAAAAGATGGGCAGAAGACGTTATAGAACTAGCAGGGAAATACTGGATGAATATTGCTCAAGGCCAAGAGAAATGGAAAAATATGGAGGAGGCTTATACCTTAAAAGGAACCATACAAAATGGAGCCATAAAAATTTTATTTAGCAAAACCTACAACAAGATCATTGCTTTTACTTCTTTAAAGGCGCTTAACTTTTGATGTATTATAAATAAACACAACTCTGGAATTTAAACAACTGTTCTTTAGGTTATCTCTTGATTAATATATGAATTGCGACATACAGCAAAATAGCTCTGTTAGGTAGGAAGTAATATCGAATATAGGATTAAAAGAGTTAAGAAATCTTTATTGATGTTATATTTACGCGTACAAAATATAATTCTGCTAAAAGCTAAAAGCTTGGCTCTTGGAAATACTTCTTCTTCTTATAGTGCTATCTCCTTGCGAAGGTTGGCGATCATCATGGCTATTTTAATTTTGGATGATGCGCTTCTAAACAATGACTTGGTGCTTTGACCAAACCATTGTCTCAAGTTTTTCAACCAGGACGTGCGTCACATACAGTACAGTCTTTGTCTAAAACATTATTTTACAGTTCTCCTGTCATATTCGATGACATTTAAAAAAATAATATGCATGGTTTAAATGTGATTAGGATAGAGTACGTTTTCAATAAATTCATTATAGTAAGTATTAGTATTGCTTGTAATATGGTAATTGGTAAAACACATTATCTAATTAAATTTATTGTTGATACAAGCTTATGCCGTGACATCGTCTGCCTAGCGTGTGTTGTAGATATAAGCTACCTATTTATTTCAAATCGTATCATTCCTGCAGGTAGGGAAGGGACTGGTTCTGCGGGTTCCAAACAACAACAGTTGAATGTACCGCGGGTAGACACTATGTTAGTGAGATGGCAACAATGGCTGGCTGAGTTAAAAATAAAATTTTTGACGCTACAGTTACTAGTCAGGACTTACAACACAGAAAACATAACAATCGTATAGCGCAGGAAACCTTCGTGAGGAAAGGCAAAGATTCAAAATTAGAGTGGACGTGGAGGCAGAGAATGCTGATCACCTTGCTTACTTTAGAAATAAAAATGATCGGAAATCAGAGAGAGAAATAAATCCGTTTAATTTATTGTTATTATAATTAACAGGGCCTTCATTTACATATACTATTTTGATTAATTGCATTGCAGACATATTGAAAGATATAAAACATTTCATATGGGTGTCCTAGATCAGTCAGTCAAAAAACTGAGTAGTATATTACTGAATACCAAATTATCTTTAAGTAATTGAACTATTCACTTCAGTCACAAACAGTCCATCATCGTAGGTTGTCGTAAAAATGCTGGACAGAAATGAATTTCTGTCAAATTTTATCAATAAAGATCTTCAATTAGCTATATTGCCTATGCGCTTTCTGGAGAATGTGTTTCTTCTTTCTACGTATTCCATCTCCAACAATTTCATTAATCCTCGTGGTTACATTTACTATATCCTTTCCTTCTGTCTTGTGAGCTTCTTCATTGGCTTGCAAATATATTTCAGCATTATCAGTGTTCACATTGAGCTGTTTTACCTTCTCGTCGCAAATCTTTGTATCAGCTGCGTCGCGATGATCCTGATTCTTACCAATAGCATTTACTATCGCGATAAATATATTTTTCTCATTATGAGGCTACAGAAGATTATCAATTACACCCCCAACTTCACATTAAACAAATTTATTAAATGGAATTGTATTCATTACCTTTGTCTCATAGTAACCATTGTTGGTTTTGTATCTGCTTATATCTATGCTACTCGAATGTATGCAACTTTCAGTTCTTGTCTGTACTTAATTTCTACAATGTATGCGGACGTTAGTGTTTACAGTTCGGTCAGAATTTTGAAGTTGATCAACTGTGTTACATGTTTTTGGTCTAAGCGATTGTTGAAGAAACCCAGGTCAATCAAGTTTTTTGATTCCACTCGATTGACGTATTCTGTATACATTGACATTTTGAAGGTCTATGAAGCGTTTACATGTGTGTTTAAGATGTCGGTACGTATTTTAAACAATAAAAAAAATGTGTATGATTTGGGAACCATTTTAAGTAAAAAATACCTGTCGCAGGGTTCCGAGCTTTTCCTTTCGTATCTCTTTAGAGCTGTTGTGTTAGTAACATGAATAAAATATATGGTATATAAAGAATGTTAATTTCAATCTTTTTCAGATATTTTTACAAGTCACGGACTATTTTATACGAACTCTTATTTACATACAAATTTATATTGAAATTGATAATATTCATATCAATGATCCTATTATTAAGGTAAGTTGATGTGATTCCTATACCTTACCTTTTATTAACGATGGGCAATCTATCTAAAGATCCACTAGTATCCACGTTTGTGCAGTTACGTCCTAACAGTAACTTAGAAAATCGATAGAGGATTTTAAAATTATTTTGGTATTTAAGAAATCGAAATAATTCAATTGTAGCCTAACGTTTTAAAAGGCTTTAATAACACAAATATTTATTGCTACAGGACGTAGTGTTATCTTTCGAAGTTTTCTTCTTCGCATGGAACATAAAAAACCTGCTAAACATTGTCAGCTTTGTCAAGGAATGCGAAACTATGTATCAAACTATTCTTGATATTGACAATTTTTGCACGACGCGATTGTCACAGGAATTACCTATGGGTAATTATAATTGCTTTTTTAAATGACATAAGGCTTTATATCCGGTTTTAATATAAAATATTAGTTAATTTGTCGTCAAATATTCTGCGTATCGATAATCGTGGAGGCTGGGTGCCGAGCCGGTGATATCTTCCAGTATACAGTAAAAGAGTGGCGAAAAGTTTCTTGCCAGTTTTACTTGCCCGCTCTACGCCCTTGAATTGCGAACTGGTAGTAAATGTAAATTTACAATTACTTTTTTTTTAACGTTCATAAGTGTACTTGTTTACCTATATAAAGATTGAGATTGAGTTGAGTTAAATTATTACAAATTTCGATATTAAATTTTTCAGAAGAATCCAAGTTGTACAATAACATTAAACGATTAAACCAAACACAATTCAAGAAGATGTCGGTATACGGTGTGTTCGTTATGGATGCTGGACTCCCCGTGGGACTGGTGCAATTGCTTACTACTTATGTCATTGTGATACTACAGTTTGCGTTGACATAAAGCAGCTATTGGAAGCTACCGGTAAGTGTAGAAATAGATAGACCATCGCCCATGGCCGTCGCATGGAGAAACAATGTATCTACCAATTAGTTATATTAAATTAGATTGTTATTTAAAAATGCACTTAGGAAAGATTAATGGATAGCAAAAGGATTTTTGGTAATTTTGTAAAAATCACTTAAATGTATATAATAGTATCAATCGCTTATACTGGGAATAAATAAGGCGCAACTGCGTTTCTCTGTGAATACAAAAGATTTATTTACAAAAGAAATATCTATTAATTTACATTTAATAAAAATTATAAATTTACAAATTATTCACTCACCTGTGAATACAATAGAAACAATATTTAAAGCCTATATTCTAGGTTTTATAGTGTAAAATAATATAATGAAAAAATTAAAATATCTTACATATATTAGGTATATTATGTCAAGTGACATAAATTAAACATCGTCGATCAGACGGCAAAGACAACATTACAAAAGAGTACAATAAAATACAATATAGACAAGAGTTTGTATAGGAAAATATATTATATTTCATTACATGTATAATCTAAAAAATATATGAAATTCAATGTTCCCATACTCCTCCGAAACGGCTCAACCGATTCTTATGAAATTTTTATTGCATATTCAGTAAGTCTGAGAATCGGACAACATCTATTTTTCATCCCCCTAAATATTAAGGGTGGTCCCCTAAATTGTTAGATAAAACTTTTTGTTTTTATTTTTTGATGAAAGATAATACAAAAACATATAACCCTTAATTATCACCCCTCTACGAACAACCCCCATTTTTATTAAAGTAGATAATTATTTTTATTGAACTAAAAAATGTTTCCTGGAAATAATATATGGCAAAACGATGTTGCCGGGTCAGCTAGTAGTTTTATAATATTTTTAGTTGAACATACCTAAGCTGTAAATAAATATTGATTGATCGATTATGCTGCCCTGCGATTCTGTAACTCACTTTTCGAACTCACACAACTGAAAGGGTGGGAGCTTGTAGTTTATTGTTTATCAGAATGCCAAATCATAAAATGACTGCTTCACGATTGATTTGAGAGCGACCGCTGATGCGAAAACCGCTGTGTGAGTTCGAAAAGTGAGTTACAGAATCGCAAGGCTGTTCTGAAATATATGTGTAGACCTAAGTTCCACCGTTCAATCGGGGACCCTGGTTCCACGGTTAGGTGTAAATTGTGCATATAAGTTGCTTAGAATTTAGACATAATCTAGACTTCTAAGAAATCAATCGTGCGCAGCATCGAACCGCCACACCTTGTAATTAAATTATAAGTTTTACTTTAATTAAAATATTACTTGGTTTTTTTTAGACCTTCGGCGGCAACCAACATAATTAATTATGAACGAGGGAAAAACAAAACAATCTATACTCATATTAAATGATTTTTATTTTTAATTAGACCCTTAATTAGAAGTGACTTGCGTCATTGTTAAATGAGTGGAAATTTACATGAACAATTAACATATTAATTATTTTTAACACACGTTTTGGAGTGATTACTATGGGTAACGGTTAATTACACATTAAATGTAAGCAATTAATTATCAGTTTGATAAATTTGTGTTATTTATAGTGTATTTATGTTTTACGATTGTGATTATAATAACGAGAATTAAATTAATTTTCTCAAAAATCTATAATTTATAAACAATATCTTTGTGTTCTTTTCCAAGACACGGGAGATGTTCAATCTTCAAAACATTGAAAGCCTGGATTATTCCTAGAAGAAATGGTCTATTTTTAATTTTCAGCCTCACCCGATATTTCAGACCACTATGTTACATATGTATGTACAGATATGTTACGAGGTCACAGGTTAATGTAGAGCATACTATAAAGCAGTGTTTCCCAACGTGGGGCCCACGCTCCACGGGGCAAATTTATTGTTAAGGGGGCTATTGGAAAGTTCATTAGAATTATTTGCGATTTGAATTTCGGTTTTTCATTATATGTTTTGAAATTGTACTTACTGTGTTTTGTTAACATTTCCTAAAATAAAAATATAATAAAATTTAACTTTCGTAAGGGAACAATTCAATTTTTTTATATTAAAAATTATATGTTTGGGGCAATCTTAGAAAGGTTAAGGTGGGTAATGGCACAAATAGGTTGGAACTTAAATAAAGTTTATACTGTCTTTAATAACTACCAGGGAGTATATTCTTCATGCTAAATGGCTTTTTAATTGTATGACATTTTTTGTAAAAAAAGCTTGAAACCCATAATTAAGTGAACATAAAGGACCCTCGACTGTCTAAAATCTAGACTATAGATTTTAGACACTAGTCTAAAATCTATCTATAGTCTAGTCATAAAACTTCTCGACTTTAGCTACTGGCTCGATATCCAACGACGTTTTTGATGAAAACCCATTCTATAAAAAAATAACTCAAACAACATCATTCAACAAAAGAACACGTTTGTGTCTGTCCATTGCGAAGGCTGAGACGCAGATGCGACGGCGTGTATACCCTCTTGCGTCGCGACGTCATGCGTCGACACAACGCAGATGTGACATACAATGCGTCGATCCGATGCGACGACGCGACGCAACGCAGCAGTGGGGCCTCGCCCTTATATGGGGAAAACCCGTGTTATACGATACCGTGTCTTAGTGTACAATATAACGCATTTCACATTTGTATTTTTTTAAATTCTATGTAGGTTTTATTATTATTGCTAGGCCAACTCTGTTACAATAAACCTTTGCCTAAGAACAAACAATACTTGTCTTTGACATTAGAAAATACAGCGAAGTATCTTTTTAAAATTGGTTAAGTATTTTAGAGACAAATATTTTTGATACAGCTTTCCGTTTTTTCAAAACCTAGTTATGACATCCGTTTTCTGGGGTCTCTTCTTTTTATTCGTTCTCAAGTCATCATAGATTTCTTCTAAGGGCCTTGTACGCGTTTCGGGTATCTTTGCGAAAATATATAATGCCATCAAAAGGCACATGGCAGCAAAAGTGTAGAATGCTACATGCACACCAATTCGCGCTGATATCATCTTAAAGAATAATACTTGTAGGAAGTCGAGGAAAGATGCTATCGCCATGCTTGTTCCTAAAACTGTTCCGCGATACTGTAACATAATATTAAAGAGTAGTTTTATCATCTTTTCGATTCTCTAATAACACTTTCTTCCCTTAAACAGAAGTGGAAATGGGCGGGACATATAGCAAGATGCACAGATGCAGTGGGATTTAAAGAACTATAAGGAAAGAAAGGGGTTGGAAAGGAACAAGGCGAAGAAGGAGAACAGGGTGCCCTAAAACAAGGTCGATATAAGATATAGAAGCGTTAGAAGGAAGCAAATAGCGAAAAACAGCAATGGAAAAAGATATTTGGAAAAACAACAACACTTTTATAAATGTTGAATTATTATTATTAATAGCACATAATTGAATAAATATTTTACCTTAAACGAGAAAATTTCCCCTATTAAAACAGTTCCAACTGGCAAGAGGCCCGCTGAATCACAAAAGATACAAATGCAGAGGGTAAAAACAGGGATCCATTCGGGAGGGTTATAGCCGTAGTCTTTGAAGAGGAACCAAGTCGCCAGCGAGCACATGCTTATTCCGGATATGAGACATGTGATGAACAAAAGAGGCTGAAACAGATATAGTTTAGGTATATTTTTATAAACAAAAGCGTGATATCTAAACTCAAACTCAAAATACTTTATTACAAAATTAAAAAAAAAAATGTCCACCCGAGCGAAGCCGGAACGGGCCGCTAGTATTTTTAATAAAAGAACTGAAGAATTACAGTGACGGTTAAACTATAAAATCATTTTTAAAGCCACTTACCCGCCTTCCAGATTTCTCAACTATATTAGAAGCGACGATAGTTGCGGCAGTTTGGACTGCTCCCATGACCATTGCCTGCTGGTTTGGATTTAGCACAACACGAGTTCCATCAGATGCTCTTGCGAAAATATCTCCCGCAAAATTTCCCACCGGTATAGCACCACATAGTTCACGAGCGAATGCAGCCATTAACGCTATTTGAAATGCTTTGAAGAGGATTTTGTCAGCAACTGCAACAATTTTCAAAGCGATAAGCAAGGGCGTGGCTGTATATTTAACTTTAGTATATCAAGAAACGAAGAGCAGTGTTGGCCCGGTGGCATCAGCGTGCGACTCTCATCCCTGAGGTGGTAAGCTTGATCCCCTCTGTGCATCAATGGATCGCTCAAACGGAAACGGACGGATGGAAAAAGTCAACGGCGTGTGTCAGGCACAGGACGCTGATTACCTAGTTGCCTATTAGATTGACAAATGATGATGAAACAGATACAGAAATCTAAACCTGAACAAACCATGAAACGGGTTATATTCATTAATAAAGCCAGATTTTTAGATATACTATATGTCCATGTAGTCAATGTTATCAGCTGTATATTATACTTTCTCATACAGGAAAACATTCTGAAAAAACGCCGACGCCATCACATCATCAAGAAAACATGATATGAGTCAAAGACCTGTTTACTTACAAATGGCTTTAATTATAGATGAATCATTGACTTCGTCGTTCTTCTGTTCTGATTTAATTGTTTCAATTTCTTGTCTTATTGCACAGTCAATTTCATTTTTGCGACGCAGCCATAGTAGTACTTTTTCTGCTTCCTGCAACAACAAATTTATTTGTTTGAAATGGAACAAATGGCATGGAACAGCGTGTTAGTCTGCGTATCGGATACGTAACAGTTAAGACTGTATTAGATATGTATTAAATAAATATTGACGGCTTTATTGTATGCTATCAAAAACATAACTTGTAAAAAAACATGCGAGGCTTGGTTCTTCTTTTGTAAAAAGGTGTTAGATTGAACAAAGCCAGTCAATTCAGTCCGTACTTAAGGGTCCTTCTGTCTTAATTTATTTCGTAATTAGCTAACCTAACAATAATTAAAAATCGTTTATGTTTTAAATAAATACATTGACTTGGCCATCGCATGGAAACAATGTATCTCACAAGTAATACATGTCATATTGAACTAGATTGAATGATTAATTATTATGTTATGAATATGATTAATTAAGTTATTAAGAGATATATATATATATGTTGGTAATATTTATAAGGGTGAAAATGACCTGTTTGCCACAAGTGTGGTGTTATTACGAAGAGCTCTGACATCTGAATTCTTGAGGAAATACATATTGTATCTTAAACTGTCCACCATTTCGTCTAGATTAAAATGATTAATGAAGATTTTAATGGCGTACAAATTTATATTTAGTTAATTTTTTAGTTATAAGTTCCTTGATAATAACTAAATACATTTTACATTTTTATTTATATGTCTTCTTTAGATTTTACTTTATTTGATTTTAAGTTTTTTTTGTTAATTTATTATGCACTTCTTGTACTTTGCTTTGTGCCAATTAGGGTTGCCTGGATGAAATCGCTTGTTAGCGATAAGTCTCCTTTGCCTAGTAACTTATGTAACCTGGGTTTTTTTTTTATGTATGATTTTGTAAAGCGTTTTATAAATTTGAGGAATACTTAAATGATCCTAATCCTTGGGATTGATTTGCTCCAGTTCAAACAATTTGTATGACAATACTTGGCGATTAAAAAGAGTGGCGGAAAGTTTCTTGCCAGTTCTTCTTACCCGCTCTACGCCCTTGACTTGCGAACTGGTAGTAAATGTAAATTTACAATTAATTTAACTTGACAATTCAAAAGTGTACTTGGTTACCCACTTGAATAAAGATATTTTGAGTTTTGAGTTTTGTATATTATGGTAACGAAGTGTAAATAAATATAAACCTTACCTCGATTTTCCCGATTTGTACCAGGTACGAAGGAGATTCAGGCAGGGCGAGGAACAGAAGAAAACTTAGTATGGGCACACTAAGGCAGATGAAAATTATCGTTCTGTAACCCAACATATCACCTATAACATAGGTGAAAAAGCATCCAGATGTGTAGAACACTGATGTCTGAAAAAAAAAGCCGTGTTAATAAAACTTATTATATAAGTTTACTAGCCGTTTCGCGCCCGCTTTGCTGGACGAATTAAAATAAATTTTATGTTTCATTATTTTATTTTTTTTCATATTTTTACTATTCTTCTTTTTAACTTCCCGCTAAGAAAATTGAAATATTTCGAAAATCGAGTTTTTAACAGATGTTGACGTTTAGAGGTTCTAGGAAGCCTCCCCGAATGTTTCCGCGGTGAAGTCCGTATGGATAAATTTTCATAAAAGTAAAACAGCATACAACCCATATTTTTCACCCCTCGTATTATTATTTTAATAAATAGTATTTTTTATTATTTATTACTTGAATTCTGAGGATAAAAATTGGAAAAAATTAAAAATTTAGTTTTGTTTAGTTAGGTTTTATTTCGCAATGCGAACAGTCTCTATGGGGCATAGAAAAATGTTTCATTGTGAAAAATGTGATATACGTAGCTACTAAAAAGGTAGGCAAAATAAAAAGAAACATATTAAGGGGAAACGAAGTATCGCGGGGGCACCTAGTATAGTATAATATGTTACTCATCAAACATATCTTACCCAACAGCCTAAATGTCCTCTTATACTGTTCTCACTTATTTCCTTTATATAAACCGGACATGTGACAAAACTGCACGCCATTAATATGCTAACCATGCATCTTGATACGAATAAAGGCCAAAATTGCGGAAACAATTTCAGAATCCATATAGTCTGTAAATAATTTTTTTTTAGTTTTTACACGTTTATTGAAGTTATACTTCTTTTGGCGCGTTAGGGAAAAATGATGCGAAATTTTTACGATGCGCGCGCACACCGTCACAAAAACCGACACCCTGAAGTTAACATTTTAGTTTTGTTTTTTCTACAAACGTAGAATAAAATTTTTGAAAAGATTTTAATGTTACGCCAAAGAAGTATAACTTCTTACGCGTGTACATAAATACACACACGTGTTTTTATTAAAGTACACCACATTATATACAAAAAGTCATGGATCAAACGCAAATAGGGGATAGATGAGGTCATCAGCTGCAAAAAATTGTTCTACGGGAGGTATCTAAGCTCAACCCCTGCAGAGTTATAATTTATTTTGCGTTTTTATAAGAAAATTGACTTTCTTTACAAATTCTTATTAAAATTTGAAAAAATCTACATCCTGTATCTTTTTCATAATATTCACTAGATTGGTATTGATGAGTTCTTGTATATCGACAGTGTATAACAATCTATCTATTCTAAATAAAAGAATGTCTATGAATGACAGTATTGCACGCTTGACATCTCCTTCGAGATCGCGTACGAAATGACAATATTCGCGAAAAGACAGGCATGAGCAACGCAGTAAAACCAAGGGCTGTAGAACCGATGGATCCGTTCCTAGAATATAGACCTCGGCAGAACAAAAGACCACGCGGTTGCCCACCACGTTATTGAAATGAAACTTTTTAGGCGCATGAGGGTAAAATTTTTACGGATGAAACGCAATAATAATAAAATCATAAATAGATAAATATCTATATTGCAACTAGTATCGTTATGTGGCACATAAAGAGGAATTATTTGTTTCAACGAATAAACACCAAACTCAGACTGCTAAATTTTTATTTTATTTTCGCTTTTGCCATTAGAACGCCGTTATCCTTAAATAGCTTTATTTTTGAATAATTATGTTAAATTAAGTAAGATAGAAGATTAATAAGATAGAGCGCACAGCTGTATAATAAACTACCCACAGATATAAAAAATATTACTCCTATCAATGCATTTGAATCGAAGCTAAGTGAATATGTTAAACAAAATTACTTTTAAATTCATTTCTTATAATTACTTTTAATTCATATTTCTTTGGTTACTTTTATTTTTAAGTTTATTGCATGTACGGCTATATTTTATTGTGATTACTTTAAGAACGACTACAATGTTATGTTAATCTAGAGTATTATTCTCATGTAAGTGACATTTTTGTCTTTTTGAGAAACTAAAGTCTTTATACAAAAAGATATTAAATATTTTTGTATTTCACAAAATATATTTATTATGTAACACACTTTTATCGTGTTATTCGTAAAGATAACGTGTTCTTGAAAACATGTGTTCGATTATTATACATTTAATTACATTTTTAAAAGTTAATTGCATCGTAATTAATTGCTATTAATAAAAGAAATATAAATTACGTTGTGACGTGATAAATATATTTTAACTGTATACCAATATATCACCAGCGTTTATTTAGTAGCCATCGCTGCGGTTACGAACACTAGTATGGTATCTGGGAATTTCCAGAATGTTTTTGACTTGGACTTTGTCCAGCCCATTTGGATTTACCAATGAAGGCAATTAATACCATATTAATTAGAATAATATTTTTATACCCATTTTAGTGGATGCATTGGCCTAGAGGGTCTTTTTTTAAACAATTGGTAGTCGTATTTCCTAGAGTAGACCTCCACCGGGAGGTCAATTCCACAGCCCGCTAGTTCGCAAAAGAAAATGCTTAGTGGATTGAAGATTAGATTATGTTAGAAATAATGTCTTGTTAAAAGTACCGAATATGCTCACAATTCATAGCATACATTGACAACTGGCGGGCGATAGCTTTCGAGCGATCTCTTGCAGGCAACCACATTTGCTTTATTACTACTTGGCGATAATATACAATACGTGGCGATTAAAAAGAGTGGCGGAAAGTTTATTGCCAGTTCTTCTTGCCCGCTCTACGCCCTTGACTTGCGAACTGGTAGTAAATGTAAATTTACAATTAATTTAACTTCTTTCTGACAATTCATAAGTGTACTTGTTTACCTATATGAATAAAGATATTTTGAGTTTGAGTTTGAGTTTACTTTAGTTGTGACATTTTAACGTTTCATGAAGATCAGTGATGATCGCAATGGTTCCCTTATGAATCTTTAATACTTTTTAGTCTATTTAGAGTCGGCTTAGTAAATTGTACAGTAAATTACTTTTATTCACCCCTAATATAAAATTTGTAATAAGATTGTCAAAAGAACTCCAATTACTAAGAAGGCCAACAAATTTAAATTTAATGACGTGGAATAAGTGATACCTGAATCTTATATTCCATAATAAACAATTTTCTTTTTCTTTTTTTTATCTTAACCAGCTATAGATATGCGAAACAAAGGCAAAAAATCCTTGGTCCCTCCCTCTCTCAGAAACTAGGACTGCGAGATCAATCATTGAAACTATATTCGCATTATGAGATTTTATGAAGAAAATTGTTTACTTAGAAACTGTGAGGCTGGAGCTCTCGCTAGGATAAGGCGGAAACATACTAAAGGCGGAAACATACTTACGTGTCGTGGCGTGTCGTGATGCTTACTGTCGTGACGGTGAGTGTGCACACTTACCTACATAATGTTTTCTTCTGATTCGGATAGTGATTTTGATGAAGACCTTCAATTTCTCTTAGCAATGAAACTTCTTAAGAGCAAAAAAAAGAAAAGATACTGGGTTCACCCTATAAACAGAGGAAGAAAAGAAAAAGGTGAATTTCATCGTCTTGTTAAAGAAGAACTCTCTAAGAGTGACGAAGAGAAATTTCATCATTTAATTTCATTTTTATTTCATTTTTGCTAGATGTTCGCGCCACGAGCCACGCGCCGGTATAGAAACACATGTGCCTGTTGTGTCGTGTCGCGTCATAACCCCCCACCACCGCTCTGGCGCAATCGGTGGCGAGCAGTCGGCGCCACGTAAGGACGTGTTGCGACACGACACGACATGCAAATATGTTTCTAATCATATTAAATGTATGAAACCAATATGCTACTGGCGCGTCACGACACACCACGACACGTAAGTGTGCACACTCACCGTCACGACAGTAAGCATCACGACACGCCACGACACGTAAGTATGTTTCCGCCTTTACTCCTAAGGAAACCAGTTCCAGTCTTGGATACAAAATTAATTAAGCACATACTGAACCCAATGCTGTGGAGAGAAGCAGTGTACGTTTTCTTCCATATCTGTCACCAATATACGCCAAGAGAAAGTACAAGGGGACTCCAGCTAAGTACGATATGGCCGCCAACCAGGATATCTGTAAAATACAAGAAATTAAATTTTCTGTCCCTCCGATATATATTATCCGAACTAATAGTACTTAGGGTCCTTCAAGAAAAGAGCGTACCAATTCTAAAAAGGCAACGCATTTGCGAGCATTTTGTCAATGTGTTTGTCTATGGGCGGCGGTATCACTTAACATCAGAATATGAGCATTCCTGCCCGTCTTCTATATATATAAAAAAAACCCTTGTGTTTAAGAGAATACACGGTAAAATGCTAAAGGTGGATTGAAGCTTAAATGGGTATCGTTTACCCAGCATTCTGACGCTGGTGAGTGGCTAAAAAATCCCGCTCTAATTTCGCTTGTCTGCATCAAATAAAAACCTAATAATGGGCCATTATAGTAAATTGGGGCATTATGAATGACCTTTTTGGGTCGCTACCCAGTTAATCCCTTTATTCACTAAAAATTTACGTAATTTTCTTCCTTGCGGCTTTTAAGTGATGGACTTTACAAAGCAATAATATTTTCAAAAGAATGGAATTAAAAAGTGTCATGAACATTACTGTTATCGTGTAATCATTTAATGTATTTCTCAGTTTTAATATACTCCAAGCCCAAGGTTATATAGCTGATAATTTTCCTATCCGGGGCACAATTTCCTACTATACTAAGTATTTAATTAAGTCAGCTGTCAAAGGGGTTATTTAATGATTGCATAGTATAGGTGCAAATTAATTGTATGTAAAGTACCTAAGCCAGTGTTTCCGAACGTGGACCTACGCCCCACAAAGGGGCAATTTGCTTGTTAAGAGGGATAATCGAAATCAGCTGGATATAACACAACGTGGAGACTTGAAACTGAAGCTAACCAAATTGGAACCCGATATATAATCTCTGTGCAGCAAGGATCAAACACAAGGATTTTACTAAATATGTATAGAAAAATCTTTTTTCAAATTATTTGGAATTTGAATTTCAGTTTTTCATTATGTTTAGAATATTTACTTATTGTTTCGTTAACAATTTCCTAACGATTTCTTCGTAAAACCTATTATTTAGGTTTCTTAATTTTTTTAATATATAAATTATATATGTTACATAGGGGGATCATACGAATTTTAGGCAGGATAAAGTGGGGCACGGCACAAAAAAGGTTGGGAAACTGACGATTCCTGATACGAGTCTTATCAACGTGTCAATGTATTTTCTACTAGCGGCCTATACAGGCTTCCTTTTCTAATAACTTAGAGATAAATATATCAGAAATAATGTAACTTAAAAATAGCCTAGACTTTATTCGTTATAAATATAAAAATGCAAATCTTTTCGCCTTATTAATATAGATTGTTGAAGTGAAAACTTCTTTAGCGGCGTTGTACACTTTTGTTGGAATGGGTAAAAATTTTAAACTCGCGTCAGGACACGTGATCTGATCGAAAATTCGTAAGATGGATAGAGAGTAGACAGCTGGTGCGGCGTATTTAATGTAATATAAATTGTCATGTTTGTGTACGATAGCGCAATAAATAAAAATTGTATTCTACCACATTAATTATAGTACTTTTTTACTGATAATTAAAGCAATTCGTTCAAAATTATTCCCTAACCATTACAAAATATCAAAAATGCACAACGTTAATATTCAAGTTTTCACTTCTGCCGGCACTCCCGGAGTGCAACCCGTCGTTTTTTTTCTAATGACATTACACACTGAATGTTAGCACACTTTAAGATGTCATTGGAGAATTGTAGAAAATTAATTGATATACCGTTTGCTTTTAAGATCACAATCAGGTTGATTGTTACCGTTTTACTAATTTCTTATACAGAGGATGCCCCCCGCATCCCATTTGTCCCTTTTATAAGAACACGTTTTGGACCAATCTCACCGATATCCAGATTCTGATAGGTCTGGATATCCATAGCTGCTCCCCTTACACTTCGATATCGATATTCCTATCTAATATATAAAATTCTCGTGTCACAATGATCGTTCCCATACTCCTCCGAAACGGCTCGACCGATTCTTATGATATTTTTTATGCATATTCAGCAAGTCTGAGAATTGGCTATCTATCTTTAAAACCCCTAAATTTTTATTGTTTTTTTTTTGTTTTTATTTTTTTATGATACAGTATAAAAAAATACATTTTCACCCCTCTACGATCAACCCCTATTTTTTGTTATAGTAGATAGGTATTTTTATTAAACTAAAAAAATGTTACCTACAAATGAAAATACATGACAAAACAACGTTTGCCGAGTCAGCTAGTAGTTTTATAGTAATTTGTTTTTGTTTATTTTTTTATCTCTTCGGGTATATGTTTGCCTATAAGCGCTTGCACATTAAATATTTTTCTTGTACCAATGTATCAGTGTGCCGCCCGTAGGATAAATAAATACATACCTCTACATCTGTTAGTGGTTCTCCAGATGGTGAATGATTTGATTGGAGAAGTAGAGACATCGGAGACATCCAACCGAGAGTGTTGCCATAGTTAAATACTGGGAGACAAACTGTAAGAAATACATGTATTTTATTTATAAGCAAGTTGATAGTTCAGGTCTCCTCTGCATTAAATGACCCGAGCTCATAATATTTTGACTACGCGATGACGTAGACGGTGAGGTGTTCCCGGTGAGGTACCAAATAATAATCACTATAACAATTAAATATTCAATACCTAATTCTAACCTAACCTATTATACTGAAACTATCCGAGGAAATAAGGTTTTGTTAGAACAACTTTCGTTAAAGCCCGTCACAGACTTAGCTATAATATATATTAATATTTTTATTAGGATATTACTATATATTTTCGTGTACTAATTTTCGTTGCCGTGACTTCTTCACAACGTCAGCTATAATCCATATATTTCTGTGCATATTGGGTACGTCACTGAGAATCGACAACACGTAATTTCACCCTAATGTATTGCATATTCCACCTATATACATATTATGTTTGTATAGTCAATGATTTACATATTCCTACATATTTTGAATGTACAGCGTGTTTCGATCCCCGCACACGTTTTATTTAAAATTTTTAGTGTCATTTTATATCAATTCAGTCCGTAGCTCGTTTTAAATTATCGATCATTGAAACCCCTAAAATTACTCCTCCTGGGCAAATTTTTTTTAGGATAACTCGCAAAACAAATTAAATTCGCGTCACGAGTTTGTTTATAATATCTGAAATAAGTGTGATTCGAAATACCATTTGGTTCTAGTTTTATGTGCCTGATCTGGCAAAACATATCGTAAGCACGGCGGAATCGTCTTACTGAAGAATTGTCTTGTTAAGTCCATTAACAATGTATTATGATATAATATAAACTTTTTTGTTATTTATAATTTTTGTAAGTTTTTTAAGTTCTAAGAACAACCTTATGCATAAAAATATACAAGAAAATATGACGTACAAATTTTACGCACGACACATCAATTATGTGTATCAAGGGCAAAATCAAGGAAATTAATATACTTACAGTTCTTGGTAGATTTATGAATATATATGTATATAGTACGGTATATTAATAGTTTACTAGTATAGAACGTAAGTAATGTTAAACTGCGGAATAAGTGCAGTATATTTCCCTTGACTATCTATTATTTTAATAATTATTTTATGGGAATAATCTGTAATAAAGTCCGGGGGTTTGTTAAATCTTAATCTTAATAAATTTAAGAAATGTATTAAAGAAAAGTGTAAAAAGGCTTACTAAAAGTTAACATTATTAGTTGATAAAAGGCCTGGGACTCCTGCTGACAGGTTGATTCTAGTTAATTTGCGATTCTCTGTTTAACATTAGAGTTGTTTGACATTGTTATTTTGATATAATGATTTGCTTTTTTTAAAAGATTCTGAGAGTTTTTTAAAGGTTTTTTTCAGCTTCTACAACCACTTCTTTGCCGAGTAGGATGTATGCCGATTAAATTCAATACGGAAAAATATACCGTTACTTATATTCTTAATACACATATTTTATTCTTGTTATCATTAGATACATCAAGCAAATTAGTTTGCTTATGTTCTCCTATAAAAAGGAATAAATTTAAGCAAAACTATAAAAATATATATACAAAATTAATAGTAACTTAAAATCTTACTAAGAGTCGGACAGTACGGTAAGTTGAATACTGTTATAAAATATATGCAATATTTTCATCAATGTTAGAATTAAGTTCTAAAGTTAGTAGATTCATTTTACATTGAAGGCGATATGTTAGCTTTAATAACGTCTAAAAGACTTTTAGTTATAGTAATTTTAGGATTTCAAAGAAAGGAAGAGGTTTAGGTTAGGTTAGGATTGTAAAGTTTGAACCCCACATAATCCCTGCTTTAGTGAAATTCCGTAGTGATATTCGTATCATTTCTTGACTAAAAAAAATTTTAATTTGTCTTCCAATCAACTGGCATCATCTTAAAAACATTGTATATATTTTTCCTTCTACTTTCATAACCCAAGACTGCAAATATTACATAAAAATAATAAACACTCACCTATGAAAGCACACAATATTTGGTTCCATTTGCTCGTGTCGAATAAAAAAAACTTATTCATTTCAACGTACGTGCAAAACGGAATGCACTCGTTTACTGAAAGGTTTTATTTCTGTAGTGTAATGTCTATTTAGTCTTTTGTAATTTCAATTTAGTGTAAAAAATGTTTTCATTGATATTTAGAAGACGGCTTCTCTAGAATATCCCTTCAGCTGATGAAAAGGAATATTTTTTAGCCACTTGTGCTGTATATGATATCATTCATGATTTAGCTCAACAACTATGGAAAAATATACAAAAATTCCACGCAATCTCGTTTTTAATCCGCCCAAAAATATTTATATATTTCTTAACAACTATTTAATTTTTTTTTACTATTTACTTTTACACACAAATTTTCCAAGACTTCTCTGCTTACACTGTTAATTTTAACTATTATTATTTTTTCTACTAATTATTATTATTACATTATTTTTATTTTTTTGCATCTGAGGCGCAAACTAGCTGTTGTGGTCTCTGGCAGAATGACCAGCGCTGTGGAACATGTCTGCTCCTCAGCATAATGCTGAGTCAGGAGGCATGTCGGTTTTTCCTCACGATGCTTTAAAGAGTATAACTTTAAGAGTGGTGGAGAGTTTATTGCCAGTTCTTCTCTTCCGTTCTACACCCTTGATTTAAGAACTGGCACTAAATGTAAAGTTAGAAGCATTTTATATACATTTATTTTTTTGATGTTCATTAAATGATTTTTTACTTTTTACTTTACTTTTTCTTCCCCATACGAGTGAGTCTTAAATGCGCACAAAGATTTGTGCAAAGCTGGTGTCAAACCTACGACCTCAGGGATGAGAGCGAACGCTCAAGCCAATGGCTCAAGACTCCATGTCCAACATGGCTCAACAAAAGATGGAAAAAGATTTAAAAATTACTATTTTATGGTTTAATTGTCATATATATCACACTAATACAATATTTAATTCTTATTTAGAAACCTAAGGTAGACAAAAGTGTTTATGTGATTTTTATTCTTCTAATTATAAAATTATGTTAACTCGCGACTGTTTTTTTTAATTTGTCCACTGTTAAGTCCTTAATAAAGAGACAATTGAAGTAGGTAGCCCAAAATCGTCACATTAAAACTATTATTTAAATAATTAGTGCTAAAATAAACACTATCGATTTTTTCATTGCATTTTGTATGTGGGGCATGAACTAGATTTTCAATGAAATTCACGATTAAACGAGTTCTTCACCGATATCTTAAACTCTGATATCGCTAATTAACATTATATTCGTGGTTTTTTAGCGCGTATAAGCTGTATAAATTGCTTTAGAAAATCTACCAATGGGCCTGATACCTGGTATAAGACACGCCTGTTGGCGAAAAATTGTTACGCCATGGCTATAAGAATATTTAATCACCTTCCTAGAAGTTATAGATCGCTGCCATTTAATGTTTTCAAGGGGAAGGTGATAAGGTTTTTGAAGTAAAGGTGCTTTTATAGCGTGAGCGAGTATTTAGACCATAAGTTTAACAATTATAAATGACTTAACTTCTTATTATGTTAATGTTCTTATTATATGACAATGCAAAAAAATTATATATGGCTGATTGTGCGGATTTTTCTTGTTGATCGATCTAATTGTACCACTATCTTGGCATTCCGATTTATTATTTATTAACATTAAACGTCGTTTCACTAGGTGAATGGACCTGGTATGAGAAAAGAAGGAACAGATGTAAACAAATGAAAGGGAGAGTGATCAAATATGAAGAATGATCAAATAATGAAGCAATCAATGAAATGAATTGGACGTCAAAGCAGAATACGAAATTCCACCGACATCCGTTGTTCCATAACTGAGCGTAGTTTGTTGTGTGCCGCGCACCACCACTATGTGGAACCAGTTGCCCACTGAAGTTTCTCCGAACCAATTGGACTAAGGGTCCTTCAAAGAGCGTACCAAATCTTAAAAGGCACACGCGATCATTGAGAGTGTACATGGGCGTTAACAATAACATCAGATTGCCACCAGTTCTTTAAAATAAAAAACTAGAAAATGTTTGACAAAAATTTTAAGTGTACAAAAACATATGTTTTACATAAATCTATTTACCATATAATAAAACAAAATGATGTATACCTTGAAATAATAGATTAGTTGAAAAATCCTTTCGTCAATTTGTACGGCAATTAATAATAGTTTAAACATAGACACATTAATTCAATGAAAATTAGAAGATATTCTTAGTAATATTTACTATTAATAATTATTAAGCATCTGGAAGGCTAACACTTTACTATAGCGTGACCAATTTCTTTGTTTAGTAGATTTTTTGAAATAGATAAAAGCTTTAGTCCTCTGTAAGAACCTTTGAGAGCTTTAGTGGCATAATCTACGCTAGACAATCCATTTCATCGTCGGACGTCAAGGCAGAATCCAAAATTCCATCCTCTCCATCTCGACGCCTGGCAATCTACAACAGAGCGCTTTTTTAAAGCACTTTCTGCCGCCACCTCATTGTGGAACCAGCTGCCTGTAGAGGTATTTTCAAGTCGATAAAATTTAGACGCCTTCAACAATAGAGCGTCCGAAAGGTCGGCCTTAGCGGGCTTGGCAGGTATCCATGGGTGGCGATTATCACTTTATTCAATCTTCTATATTCTTCGAAATGATTAAGTTCTTTATTGGAATCGTGAACGCTTACGTATCTGGTAGTCCATGTAAAGAGGGTCCTAAATTATTACGATGCAAAAATGTATCTTGAGGAAACCATAAGGCTATGGAAGTAGTAACTTTGCAGCCAGATTTTAAACAATGACAGGTGTCGCGAGAAGAAAGGCGTGGTTTGAAACTTATTTGTTTCAAGCCAGGAAACTACTACGTCAAGTGCCTTAAATCATTAATATGTCAAATGGAAGAAACTAGTTGCCCACAGGGAATCCTATTGTTGAGCTAGTGCACTTTCTTTTTAACTGAACATCCTTTGCTGTCAGTGTTGCTGGTGGTGAGTGGTGGTGCAAGTTAAAGCCGGGTTGTGTCCATGTTTAGTTGAATTTTATATTGTGGTGTATATTTCTTTTTATTTTAAATAAAATACAGGATATTCCAAGTTATTTTTATTACTTAAATTATTATTACTTAACTATTATAATTAACTAACTGTATTCTGATTGCCTAATTTATCTCATAATTGTTCATCTTGTTGCTAATCACGCAACAAGGACGTCATCCATCGAAAGATATCTTTGTAACATAAATAAATACCTATGCAAAGACAGAAATTTTATAGAACACTAGGGGAACCGACATACGTTGTCCTGCATGATATTTCAAACGATTAGGATAAAAGTATGAAAATACCGACTTCGGCGCCATCTGCCGGGATGATTTGTGAATCTAAACCATCCAGCCCAGAGTCCAGCCGTTTAAGAGGAGTTCAGTGATATTGACACATACAGTAGAAATATATAACATATATAGAAAAACGGGCGGGAGGTAAAGTGAGGTTCCACTGGACTTTCAAAATGCCAGAAGGATTGCGTTGCTGGATTTTTAAGAAAAATCATATTTACATTTCCAATTTGACACTAATTACGCCATTTTATGCCATATTATACGCCATATTATATTATCAACGTTTTCAATACAGTTTTACAGTACATGTCAAAAGTGTAGATATAAAACGAATATATTTGTCGATTAAGACAAAAAGAGTCGAACAAAGCGTGAATGCAGACCGATCATCAAACGAAATCTATTAATATTTGCTAATTTGGAATTAATACACTTAATAATTAATAATATTTTGTACAATAGCATTAATTAGTCTATGTTATATTTACAAATAAACTAAAAACGTTGTTACCTAAAGTTTGTCTTAAAATTACAAATAATGCTTAAAAAAAAGTCCCCTCCATGTTTATAATCCTCAGGCTAAATTATATCTAGGGATTTTTTAATTGTCTCACTATTAAAGATCACACAAAATATCAATAAAACCATCAGGCCTATAGTATGTGCGCCGTAGCATGGTGGGGGTGACAGTTTCAGTAACGTTTCGTTTCACTCTTGAAAGTTGCCGCGATTTACAAATTATGACTTAATATTTCAGCTGTACCACATTCGTAATATATGAAATCAATAATAACTGTAGTAACTTAAATTTAACCTAGCCAGAATGCTGAGCTTGTGTACAATTAAAATCAAATTGAATGAAAAATTAAGCAGTTGTTCGGATTAATACCTGCAGCTGAGTTTCATCATCAGACGTCGAGGCAGAATACGAAATTCCACCCGTATCACCTCGACGTCCGTCGTTCCTCAACTGAGCGTTTTTCAAGGCAGTTTTTGCCGCGCACCACCACTATGTGTAACCAGCTGCCCACTGAAGTATTTCCGAACCAATTCGACTTAGGGTCCTTCAAGAAAAGAGCGTACCAATTCTTGAAAGGCCGGCAACGCACCCGTGAGCCCTCTGGCATTGAGAGTGTCCATGGGCGGCGGTATCACTTACCATCAGGTAAAAAAAAATGTCACCCTCACCATGCTACAACGCACATAGTATAGTGAAATTCAGATGCACTGACTTTGTCCTTACATATATATATACATGTCCAATACATGTCTTTGTAATATAGTTCAATTAGCAATAAATTACGCTTTTTTCAATTCTTCATAGATCTCTTCTAATGATCTATTCTTGGTTTCCGGCAGCTTGAGGACCACGTAAACTACGGTTAAAAGGCACATGGCACCAAAAAAGTAGAACGCGTAAAACACGCCAATAGAATTTGCGAGAGGCTTGAAGAACAAAAGCTGGAAGAAGTCTGCTACTGATGCGATCGCCATGGTTGTTGCTAGGACTGTTCCTCGGTACTAAAATAGATATATATAGCATTTATTCTGATGTAGATAAGTTTTGTGTAGATAAGAGTAGTTTTGGTAAGTGGCTTCAGCGTGCAACTCCCATCCCTGAGCTCGTAGGTTCGATCCACGGCTGTGGACCAATGTACTTTCTGTCTATGTGCGCGTTTAACATTCGCTCGAACGGTGAAGACAAACATCGTGAGGAAACCGGCTTGCCTTAGAGCCAAAAAATCGACGGCGTGTGTCAGGCACAGGAGGCTGTTTCCCCACGATGTTTTCCTTTACCGTTCGAATTAAATACATAGTAAGAAAGCCCAATGGTGAAGCCGTGGATTGAACCTTCGACCTCAGGGATGAGAGTCGCTGAAGCAACTGCTTAGTGCAAATGAAATAACCAACCTTAAATGAGAATATTTCTCCTGTTAGGACAATGGTTATTGGCATCAATCCAGCTGCATCACAGAATATGCACAGGCACAGAGTGATTACTGGTATCCAAGCGGAGGTGATAATGTTGTAATCTCTGATCAGGAACCAAGACGCAAGCACGCACATACTCAGTCCTGATACCAGGCAGGTGATTGCCATTAACCACTGAAATTAATTAAAGTAGTTATATCATGGTTTGTTTGATTGGAAATTTTGAGTATTTTATAACGTAGTCCATGAGCGAAAGTTCTATAAGGTCCTAAACTTCAATGAGTTTTAAGAAAAGTAATGAAAATTAATAACACTTTGAAACAATTTTGTTTGGCCGACAACTACATGTTAACAGTTAAATTTAAATGTACCTTTCTACCACATTTCTCAACAACATTAGATGCTAACAATGATCCACCCAGCTGTACCACTCCCAACATCATGGCTTGCTTGTTCGGGCTTAGAGCAAAGGAAGAGTTGTCCTCTGAAGCCAGGTTGAAAATGTCTCCTGCGAAGTTTTGGATTGGCACCGCACCACAGAGCTCTCTAGAAACTGCTGCTACCAAGGCTATGAGAAACGCCTTGAAGAGAGTTTTGTCGGTCACTAAAAATGTATATTGGTTATCAAATTATAAACAAAAGGGCCAAAAATAAGGGCTCGTAACGAATAACTAGACTAATATTTTGCTTTATGAATGTACAGTAATCCTTTCTTTAACACGGTAGATTTTTTCCGCGTTATAGGAAGAGCGTTGTAGTAGTAGAGTAATTTTCTCGTTCAAGGGGGGGTTTAAGAAAAAACTATTATGAACGAAATATGTGCATACAAATCATTATAAATGTCACAGTACAGATACAGATACCGGCAAACATCTTGAACAAGCGATAGCATAAGCGATTTAGGTATCAATGGGCGGCGGGCGGTGACGTGCCGGTGGCGGGATTGGGAAAGAAACTTTCCTCCACTCCCTTGTTTAATGTTCGAGATGTTTGCCGGTATCTATATATAACGAGTAAAAACCCCGCGTTATATGGGGGAATACCTGTGTTATAAATATATAAATCGCGTAATATTTTTTTTTTTTTTTTTAAAACAGGGGCCAGTCACGTGTGTGTACGCCGCCCTGGAACTCTCAGAGGGTGGAGTTGCCGGCCTTTCAGGAATCGGTACGCTCTTTTCTTGAAGGACCCTAAGTCGAATTGGTTCGGAAATACCTCACTGGGCAGCTGTTCCACAAGTGGTGGTGCGCGGCAAAAACTGCCTTGAAAAACGCTCAGTTGTGGAACGGCGGACGTGGGTTACGGGTGAATTTGTACTCTGCCTCGACGTCCGATGACGAAACTCAGTGCAGGTATTAATCCGAACAACTCCTCTGAACACTCTCCATGGTAAGCGGTAAAGAGCAGAGAGACCCCACATCTCTACGCAACGCCAAAGGATCAAGCCGCTCGGAAAGGGATTGGTCATCGACGATTCGAACCGCTCTGCGTTGAATACGGTCAAGTGGAAGGAGCTGGTCTGCGAGAGGTGAGACAGTACTCCATGTGGGGCCGAATTTGCGCGTAATATCGTGTTATAAGTAGTAACTATTCATACTAACCAATAGATTTTAACATAAATTGTTTATTCTCATCATCTTCTTTCTGTTCCTTCATGAGACGTTCTAGTTCCATTTGTATTGAGGGATCCGAACCGTCCTTGCATCGTAGCCACGCTAGTGCTTTTACTGCTTCCTACAAGAAACGCAGCTTGGGTATAACCTTCCAAGAGGTATGAGCAAGCCAAAGTTGGCAGGGACTCCGAATGGGCTATGCGGGTATCGCAAGTCAAATTATATTGGCTGATATTTACATCAAAAAAATTCTATCACGGAAGTTCTGCAGTTTATATCAAAATGTGGTTTTTAACAAAGGTTGGTATTCTATATTTTTTAAATTACAAATACCAACTTTTTACAGCTTCAGCATTTAAAAAAAATGCTGTTTAAATCACCGTCAGATGGCGCTGCAATCGGTATCTAGGTTATTTATCTATACACCAAATAAACTGCTGGTACATATCGACGTAGGAAAGCACATTTGCTGTAAGTAGACATATTGCAATTGTTCACCAGAGCCAAAAAACTTTATTAATTTCGGAAAAAAATTAATAGTGTCTGACCTATCCATGATATTGCTACCATTTTTGAAACATATATTTATTTAACTGCCAGTCACCATTTGCAATGTAAATTTTTTATCCAAAGTTACTATAAGTACGTGTTTGGCTAGTTACAGCAAACAGTTTTTTAAATCACAAACCTTTAAAACGCTGTAACTAAGGAAGAAAAATGTACGCGCGGAAATATTATCAATTTACAGGCGGTAAATATGCTGTATGCAGGAAATTTATGTATTTGGGTACTTTTAATTGCAATTCAAGATGTAAGATTAGTTTATAATTATGATTAGATCTAGAAATGCAGTGGGTCATTTGGTAATGTAATGTTTGGTTGAAATAAAATGTCGTAAATGGTAAAAAAAAACCAAAACTGTAGGTTCCCTAAACTTTCTGTAAGTAAACGAATGTAAAAATCACACGCCGCTGAAATGCTGTAAGTAGCGTTAAGTTTTTAAATGGGAAGAAGTAAGTATTTGTAAAGAAAAAAATGCAGATTTTCTTTTGCTGTAAGTGCAAAATGTCTGAAATGACTAGATTTTGGTCTACATACAGCATTTAATCTTGCTAAAAATAATATAAGTACGGGCGTTTTCAACGGCGTATGTAATTTTTTTTCATCGTAGAGACACAGGACCCAGGTCATTCGATGCGGCTTTTTTTTCTGATTCTAATGGCAGGAAAAAGTCACTTTAGGTATTTTGTCTACTTACAGCAAATATGCTTTCCTACGTCGATATATAAATCTTATGTGCACGTGTTCGTAATTTAACTCTCTAAACGGCTGGACAGATTTTGATGAAATGTTTTGTGAACAAGTGGAGTCGAGAATGATTTTTTTATATGAAGAAGTGTGTACAACGTCTGTCACATCAAAAAAATAAAAAAAAATAAAAAAAAAAAAATAAAAAAAATAAAAATAAAATAAAATATTTTGTCACTGTTCCACTTAGTCACTGATAACCTCGTATGTCCAGAGAACCAAAATTTTGCGTCATTGTTCGTTGAAATATTATTGTGTTTTTGTCCATAGTTTTGGATGGTAAAATGACTCATTTAAAAAAAATGATTTTTTGACATACGAGGTTATCATTCTACAGCGACGTTACGTCAGTGTATGTAATCGAACTTTAGGTGAAGAATACCTCTAGCTTTCCTTCCTTGACGAGATAAGACGGCGAATCGGGCATAAAAAGAAACACAATGAAGTGAATCATGGGAAATGCCACCAACACATACAGGATCTGATGATAGCTAAGATAGTCTCCTATGATGTAGGAAAAAAGAGACCCGACAGCCGTGAATAATGCACCCTGGAAAAAATATAAGTGTTTTATTTTATTAGAATACTAGATGACCCCGTGAACTTTGTTTCACCAACATATATTTGAGTCAAAACTTTTAAAATAGACCAAAAAGATCGGACTACTCGATCGGATGCTATGAAACACATATTTCTGAAAGAATCTACAAATAAATGACAACCAAGTGACAATTTTTTATTTCTAAAAAGACGTCCAATTTCCCAACTAAGAACAGTTTTTATTGGAAAATCCAATTGTAATTTTTAGTATTTTTCTTTAATTGTCATTTACGTTTCCCATCGTTTAAACCTTCCCTGATCTTCCACAAATATTTTAAGATCATAATTCGCCAAATTGGTCCAGCCGTTCTCGAGTTTTAGCGAGACTAACGAACAGCAATTCATTTTTATATATATAGATTGTAAGACCGGAAGCGCAGTTTCGCTAGATACGATGGCAAGCGGCCGGATGGGATGTCGTTGATCCCTTAGAAGATGGAACGGGCTTTGGTATGGAATGCTACTTGACACGTCTCACCTACTTTGGACAAGCAAAAAAGCTGGGGCAGCCGCATAGCAGGCAGAAAATAATAAACGGCTCAAATATGTCTTTCCTCCATAATTTTGTTCCCTTTTGAGTAGAGACTCTTTGGACGTGGGGTTCAAATGCACAGGCGCCAATTAAAGATTAAAATTGGCGCCTGGTAGATAGTAGCAGTGACCAGAGGTGGTGCTTTCCTCGCTAAACGAATTAGTATCACAATACAGCTAGGAAATGCTGCTAGCGTTAAAGGTAGGTCACAAAGACCAAACTTTTGAAATTGGTTTTAATTTTGGTTTTATTAATTTTTACTATAAGATACTATGTAGGATAAGAATATTGTAAATACTGTATGTTATACATAATAAATAAAAATATATAAATAAGTTTTAACATGCAATAGCCAAAAACACGCAACGCATATAGCAAGATACACCGATTATAGGTGGACCTTAAATACAACTGTATGGAAAGGACCAAGAGGAAGAAGGAGAAGAGGTCGCCCAAAAAAAATTGGATAGAAGAAATAGAAGCGGTAGCAGGAAACGAATGGAGAAAGAGTGCCATAGACAGAGTCAGTTGGAAAAAGCTGGAGGAGGCCTTTACCCGTGAAGGGGTTCCGATCGACTGTACTGAAGGTAGCTGGATATATAGGATATAATATAGGATAACCAGATAAAAATAATGTACAAAATGTACAAAAATCTAAGGTGATAGATATAATTTTTTTGTCGTGATTTGGAAATTAAACGAGCTTTATTATTATTATCACTCACCCAGCATCCCAAAGCTCCTCGTATACGATCTTCACTTATCTCTTTGATATAAGTGGGGCAAGTGACGCAGGCACCAGCCATGGTGATTCCGACCAGTATACGGGCAGCAATGAATACCCAGATATTCATTGAACAGATTTTTAATGTCCAGATTGTCTGAAACATAAGAATCAGGATGAGAAAAATTAATTCTCTTTTCTTCTCCTGCTCTATATTTAATTCCTTCCTGTATAAGATTAACTAGATTTTACTATAGATCTTGATACATGTGTAAATCTGTGACAGTAACTCACTAACGCCTAAATAATTATATATAGAAAGGTCACGTGATTATCCCCATACAAATTACTAAGATACCGCTACACTTATTAGCTATTGAATATTTCATTCTCTGACCCAACTAACTTTTAATTAAAAAAATATCGTTAAATGAAAGAAACATAAATGATACCGAACATATTTTTCCTTTGTAGGAAGAAATAATAAAAATAATTTTAATAAATTTTCGAAAAATATTATATATATTATAATTATTGTATTGGCTAGGTTGTAATTCATGTAAAGTCACACTCTTTTATGTGAACTTTATTGTAAGAAAAAAAAATGTATAATTAACGGAAATCGAGGGCTAGGTTGAAAGTATTACTTACAAAACTAATAGCAGACATGAACAGAAGTGTTGATTTTCTTCCCAATGTATCTCCCATATATGCCATTAGGTACGTTGCAGGAATACATGTTAAATATGGTAAAGATGCCATCCATGATATCTTAAAAACAGAAAAAATATACATTGCAGATTTGGAAAATTTTCTAATTAAACACTTTGTAATACTTGCTACTATGTATAATGTGGAACTAAATAGTTTTAATGCCATAAAAATATTGACTGCGAACCTTCACGGCTGTAATATGATAACGACTTTCTGTACTCCACATTTCATTTTGTACATTCTAGCAATATTCCAAATATTGTATTTGGATTTTGGTTTAATATAAAAAAAATTGAACACAAAAAATTGTCTTCTCTTAGAGACTGTAAGTAGAGTTATTGGACACTTTATTATGTTAAATATCCTTTAATCAGTTAGGTTAGACTAAAATTACTTATTCCATGATGTCTCAATAAAGACACATTATATTAAAATATACACGTAACATTGGTTAAGTTACATATATTTTAGTTAATAATTAAAAGCGTAAACAATATCGCACACTTGAAGCCAATATGATTAGTTATTACCACACTCATAAATTGTATTTTAACATTCTCGTTTCCGATAATGTCTAATAACATAAGTGTCACTTAGAATTACGAACTCATCAATAAGTCAAGTTAGTTTTTTGTTAATACAGCGTCGCAACCCCACTACCCCTAATGTTATCTTAGTTATAAGCTCATGTTTTAAACAATTAAAGCCAGTTGTTACCAAAAGTCAAAGTCAAAAATAATTTATTCATATGGGTAACACAATGCACACTTATGAACGTCAAAAAAGAAATATACATTAAATCCTTTTAATATTACATTTACTGCCAGTTCTCAAATCAAGGGCGTAGAACGGAAGAGAAGAATTGGCAATAAACTCTCCGCCACTCTTATTAATCGCCAAGTTTTTTGTTTTCCACAACGTTTGTAAGGAGCTGCGACCATTACACCATGTTCCACATGACATCTTAAGTAATAAATAATAATAAAATAAATTAAAACAAAGATTTTTCCTCTATCAGCAGGAGGCATGGTGAAATAGGAGCACACACTTACATTCTCGTGGGAACAACACGCAAAAACATAGTCGAAATAACTAACATTACCCAGATTCAAAGTGTTTCATTTAACATATACATGCAAAACCGCCACCGAACTTAACTTGTATATATACAAAAAGGTTCTAAATCTGCAATTGTATAGGTTCAGTTTTTTTTTTTAATACCTCTATATCAGTCAGAGGAACGCCTTTCGGTGAGTTTTTTGATTGTAAAAGTAATGTCATTGGAGACATCCATCCAATACAGGTACCATAGCTGAAGACAGGAAAACATACTGAAAATCAAAACAACAAATATTTATTTAAGGAAAATCCCTGAAACAAATAAGTCAAGTCCAAAAACAAATAACAAAGATACTATAAAACAAATTCGAGTTAATGACTTTGATAATGATCGTACAGTGAAATTTGTAAATATGTACATAGATAAAATATACCATTTTTTATATATCATGACAGTAGCGACACCCTGTAGCTCTACACTTGGTACGGGCGTCAATAAAAGGTTCCTACTATCGCTAGGTAAAAATTTGATAACGTTCTTTTAATATTTTATCGCTTGATAATATTCGAGCTTTATCTTTTATATAATATACACATGGATCCAGATATTTTGGTTATAAAAATAATGTGACAGTGTAGACCTAGTAGCTTCAGCGACTCTCATCGCTGAAGTCGTAGGTTCGATCCCCGGCTGTGCACCAATGGACTTTCTTTCTACATGCGCATTTAACATTCCCTTTAAGCAAAACGTCGATAGCGTGTCGGCACAGGAGGCTGATCACTGACTTGTCTACACAAACTAACAGTTACAGAAATTTGAGACCAGACCTAAAAAGGTTGTAGCGCCACTGATTTATTGAATTTTCTATTAAACATAATCCGACATGGTGGACTGGAAAAAAATATGTTCTACCATCCCGTCGATTTTGATTTTGTCTATTCCAAAGTGAACAAAATCAAAGTTCACAAGCGGTTATTAAAGATTTACGTTGGAGCGTGATAGATGCCGCCCGGTGATCCCAGAGCTGGTACTTTCCTTGCTCAACGAATAAGTATCGCAATACAGCAAGTAAATGCCAGGGAGCAAACTTTTTAAAATTTGTTTTAATTTTCTATTTATCAATCTTTCATTATTATAGATATATCAAAAAAATTGTAAAAACTGAATATTTTGTATTTAACTAAAATAAAATTAACCTTTCATGTTTGGTATAAATTTAAATAGATATATTTTATCTACCTACAAAATTAATCATTATTCAATTTGTATAGAAAACCAAGAGTTATTAAGAGTACTTATTTAAGAAATCTTTTTATAAGTATTCGATAAACCTAACCAATTATATTTTATATGGGCACATACATATCAAACCTTTTGCACGTTGCCAGAGTGTGCTGCCCTTTAACAAGGCTTTTAAAAGGTAGGACGTTTGTAAAATTTAATTATTTCACATTAATTTAGTTTTTCTTTCGAAGGTAATTTTAAAATAATTAACATTTTAATGAGCATATATTAAACATTATCTATCAAAACCATTAAATAAAGAAAATAAAATAAATACTCACTCAGTAATGCACAGATGATTTGATTAATAATACTCCCCGGAGTATATAACTTCCACTTAGACATGCTGGAGTACCTATAACATGTTCTCACGTTAAGAATTAATGTAATGTAAAATTCATTAGTTTCACTGTAAAATTAGTTAATGGCGAGTAATACAATAGTCATAAGGTTCCGTACGACTTCAATTTAAAACATAACATATATAACAGAATTGTTGTTCGTAGGTCCCGCTTTCCCGAAATAATTGTGGAAGTTCAGGGAAGGGTTAAACGGTAGGAAACATAAATAATAGGTAATAATAAATACTAGAATCAAGAATTTTCCAATAACACTGTTCTTAACTGGGAAATATTTGCTGTCTTTTTAAACATAAGAAATTGTCACTTGGTTTTTATACAACTTATGTTTTGGATGGCATTCGTTTGTCTCGCTATAACTCGAGAATGGTTGTACCGATTTGGCTAATTATGATCTTGAAATATTTGTGGAAGTTCACGTAAGGTTAAAACGAATAAAATAAATAAAGAAAGATACTAGAAACAAGATTTTTTCAATAAAGCTGGGAAATATTTGACATATTTTTGAACATAAAAAAAATTCACTTGGTTTTTATACAAGTTATGTTTTTGACATGTGTAGATGGCTATTAAAAATGGACGATGGTGGAAGGGGGGAAATCATGGGGTTGTTTTTTAAATTACAAGCCATATAAAAAAATATTAATACTAATCGGCAGGTGGGCCCATATCAGTTAGGTAATTTACGACCTATTCTCAGATCTAATATACACAAAAAAATCAAGCTGTTTCGGAGGAGTTTACAAACACTGTGACCAGAGACCTACTTAAGGGCTTTTTGGGCGGCAGCCCAGGGCCCCTAGTCCCCACTGAAAACAATAGGCGATGTTTTTAGTTAAAAAAATATCTGAAATTTATACAAATCCAATCAAAAGGTTGGAATCCTTAAGATCAATAAACTCTAGCAGGTATTAGTCCGTAGGTATCATTCTTATTCGCTCTCATTTTGTTTTGGAAATGTATTAACTGTGTTTTGTTAACAATTTCCTAGTAATTTCATAATTCAAGTTTCTGATGTGAACAATTTAATTTTTTTATGTAAAAAAACATGTGTGTACCTACTTGTGTACACGCGTTAGAGTTATAGTTCTTTGGCGTAAAAAGATAAAAATCTTTTTAAAATTTTATCTTTCGCCTTATTCTACGTTTGTAGAAAAAACGACATAATAGAAATAATAATAGAAAAAAGGTATTCATACAAGGTATTCATACATTGAAAGTTTTATTATAACGCATTATCTAGTTAAATGAAGTTTATTTAAATGTCACAAAAAAAATATTTCTACATAATTAAAGAAATGGACATTTTTATTTTAAAATGTTGACTATGCTAACTTGAAGGTGTCGGATTTTTGTGACGGAGGGCGCGCGCATCGTAAAAATTTATTCTCATCATTTTTCCCTAACGCGCCAAAAGGATTATAACATCAAAAATTATGTAGGTACATACATGGTTGTCATAAAAAATGTAGAAAGTCTAAGTGGCCCAAAAAAGGTTGTAAATCTAGGCTCTGGCAAATAAAAAATAATGTAATATGACAAGCAGGAATGCAATGTTTAACCGCGGAATTCTAAAACGGTAATTGTTTTTTCCATTAAATATTTAAAATGTAATTAATATGTTTGTATGTTACGAAAGCATTAAAATTCTGCATCTTCATGGGCATAATACTAATTTAAATAGCGTAGGAAAGGTAATATATATGCAAATTAATTTAGATAAAATTTCACGCATTTAAAATTCCAAAGAGAATTTATTCCGCTCACAGTTAAGCAAATTTATATGGACTTATGGTTGCTGTGGGGCTGTACCAGTAATAGCCACATCCAAATAATCCAACGATTCAAAAACAGGGGAATAGTCAATGCCAATGGTACATTCTCAATAACGATCTCCAAAGGGTCCTTAATGTAGACACACACACAATAATAAAAAGACTGCTGAAGCTCACGAACATAGGATCCACCGTCACGTGAATGTCGAGGCTATTTAACTCCTTGACCATTTGAACTAGTGAATTAGTGTTAGCGCACGTTAGTCTTGAGTTCTAAACAGTAGTAAGTGGAAAAAATAGTACAAAAGAACAGAGTGTATTACATTTATTAGAGTCTGTAGGTAAGTAGTGTTATTGGACACTTTCTTATGTTAAATATCCTTATAAGTGAATTAGGTCAAACTTATTAAGCAGGGTCCACACTATGCCGGGGTAGGCCGGGCGGGCTGACCCGGGCGGCTTTGCCGGGTTAGAAAATGCCGGCCCGGGCCGTGCCGATCCCAACCCGCATAAAGTAGGTACAGATCAAAGGAAGCCGAGCCGAGCCGAACAAAAATATAGAATGGGGACGTGCCGAGCGCCCCGAGCGGCTTCAGTTACAATTAAACCTCCGACCGAAGTAGACGAATTATTTTATTTTCGATTCAGTTTGTTTAAGTAGGGTTTTTTATTGTTCATTTTAAGTACTCTTCATCTAAATCACCAGTTTTGGTGTTGAAACTAAATAATGTAGGTAGAAATAGCCCGGTGGGCTTCGTTTTCAGTGTGGACGTCGTACCGGCCCGAACGTACCCGCCCGGCTTAGCCCACCCGGGTCAACCCTCCCGGCCTACCGCGGCATAGTGTGGACCCTGCTTAAGTCTTAAGTTAGGCTAAATCGTTATGGTCTATGGTGATCATGAAAGACACAGGCATTAAAAAAGTATAACAAATTCATTTATCTATTGAAGTTTCCTCATTGTACTGCTGTAATTATAATTTAAAAAATCGGTTGGAATTTCGGTATCTGTTCCATTATTCTAATAGGCAAGCTGATCAGCCTTCTGTGCCTGACACACGCCGTCGACTTTTTTGGGTGTAAGGCAAGCCGGTTTCCTCACGATGTTTTTCACGTAAGAATGGTAAATGCGCAAAAGAAAGTCCATAGGTGCACAGCCGGAGATCGAACCTAAAACCTCAGAGATGAAGGTCGCACGCTGAGGCCAGTTGGCCAACACTGCTCTTCTATAATTAGCCAGAACAAATAATGTTCGGGAAACCCTAGTTCATTAAATATTAAATATTTTTACACCGATTTAGTTAAAATTAGTTAGTATTTTCTTATCTTTAAGTGAGCGTGAACAGTAACATTAATAAAAGTAATCATCACTTTCCGATAATAATATGAAATGTTAATGCTTTTTGTTCATCTATGTATCTACTATAATTAACTAATTTCAGAATTTATTATTAGTTAGTAAATACTTTAATGGTTTATTATTATTATCGCAATAAATTCATATTATTAAAATATAATACTTAATTTTTTAAAATAACACAAGAACAAAAGTTAATGTAATTTAACTTAATGTAATTAAAAATTAATCTCTTTAGTAAATTAGATTAGTTTTAGGTTACTTATTTTTTTAAATACGCAGTAATGAACAGTCGTTTTGTCCCCACTTTCAAATTATTACTGCCTTGATAGTTTAAATGTAAAATAATTATTACTTCAACATTTAATACCCTTTAGAGATTAGACTTCAGTGTAATGAACTTCACTTCACTTAGACCACTAGTAACCACTACTTCTATGGTATTTTTAGTTATCATTTGCCATAGATTCACTTAAAAACTTCTATTCATTGATCAAAATGAGTCTTATCTGTCTTTGGTTCGAAAACATGAGGTTACATATTTAAATAAATAAATATAACTGCGCATACACAATTTGACAGCGACAACCGAGTTAAAACATAAACTGATTAAATTTTTATCCTTCAATATTACAATCAAGAACGCGATCTACGGCCGAGCACTTAAAAACTATTCGCCCAACAACGCAATGTACTACCCTCGCTATTAAATTAAACCAAATTATGAATCTACCCTCTTTTTCGAACGTACTAAATAAAGTAAGAACGCAACCTACGTCAGATAATTTTATAACTATTCGGCCGACAACGCAACGTTCCCACGTTATTTTAATAAAACAAATTATCAATATACCTATATATTATTTGAACACATTAAATAAACTAAGAACGCGCCCAACTGCAAGCACTGTAAAACTATTCGGCCAAGAACTCAAAATACTTCACGTTTAAAAAAAAAATCGATCTACCCTCGTTTTCGAACACATTAAATAAAGTAAGAACGCGCCCTACGGCAGAGCACTTTAAAACTGTTTGGCCAACATCGTAAAGTACTTCCCTTGCTATTATACGAAACCAAATTAACGATCTACCCTCTATTTATAATACACTCAAAGTTCATAATATTCTATTGTTAAATATTTAATTCCTTAGAATCACAACACCAGGGGCGTAGCTACCGCCGTATTTGCCGTATCAATTATACGGGGCCCCCGGGCCACGGGGGCCCCCAAAGTGTGTAAGGAAAAAGAATAAAAACTTTCTAATTTATTTTATTTTACAAATGACAAAATTCTATAAAGCAATTCCTTTTTTTCCCGCCTTAAGCGTGCGTTCAAAAGTTGGCAACACTACATCGTTATGGCGGGCTGCGGGACTTCCCCGTTTTACTTACTTCATCTTCAACTCAGCGGGGAATCCCCGGGAATCCTTCATCGATATCGCGATGTACGTGTACGTTGTTGTACTTTGCATTGGATGTTAAACCACGGAGTGCAGTGCACTGTTTATTTACGCGCTTTATATAAATGTGCATTACATTGTAATTCAGTACAAACAATATTGTTCTTCTGGTTTAGCAGTATTAGTAACGATTTGTAAAAGAAATGAGTGAAAGAAAAAGAGATTATCCCAGCGGCGCTGAGAAAAGAAAAATTAAACAGAAAAGGGACGAGGTTATAAAAAAAGTGCCCAAAATTTCTTCATTTTTTCAGAGACAAGATACTGTGAGTGATTTAGATTGGAAAGGTAAGTACTACACTACTACCCAACCCATTTATTAGGGGCCCGTAGTGATAAACAAGGAAATCTTTTAATTTCGGTCTGTCCATCTGTCCGTCACAAAAAGTTGTCTCCCC